TCACTCAGCTCATCTACAGCCATTCAGAAGCAAAAATTTTGCTTTGCAAAGTTTCTTATAATCATAAAATCTGCTGCAAAGAAGTAGTCTGGCATTGCAAGTCATGCATTTAAACAGAGTTGGGCCAGTTTCCCGACGCTGCCACAGGTTTCTGTGGCACCCACCCAAGCTCAGGGTGAATTGCTTCAATGCTTTTGGCTTGAAAAGGAATATTTCAGTGTGCTGTTAAAGAAAAGGGAAAGCAGACTCTAGTCTCTTCATCCCAGACAGAAGGAGACTTAAAAAACCTAATACTCCTCCCTGGGAGCAGGGGGCTCTGTTGCCTTCAGCCAACAATCCTTCTCCAGGCAATTCAAGAGAAAGGGGTGGTTTCCCCCCTCCTCATTCACAGCTGAGTTTGCCAGTCTCAGGGGGAGATCTAGAGAGTTCAGAAGATGCAGCAGGAGGAGAGAAAACAGCACTGTTTCTCAGAAACGTGTCTGTCTTCAAGGAGACTCTCTAATGTTCTTTATCCCAGGAAAGGAGGAGGCTTGGAGCACAGGCAGGGAGGTTTTCAGCTGGGTTCTGGGGTGGTTTCTGAGCCCACAGCCTGCCCAGAGCTCAGCCCGTGCTTCTGCAACTTCAAAGGATCACAGGAGGCACCTGCAGGGAAAGGGCCAGCAGTTAATGTGAGCTCAGTGAAATACAAAGAGAATCTGGAGGTGCGGGTGCGTTGCCATTGCTGGGATGCTGTCCCACCAGCAGCTGTGCCACCAAGGCTCATCAGGAGGCAGAGTTTAGGGCAGTGAGGCAGTGAAATATGAGGGTGAAAGGAGAGATGCAGGGCAGTCTGTGAAGCTCCAGATTTGAGGAGGGTTGTGGACAAAGGGATGAGGTTTTGCCTACACTGACAGCTGCCCACTCAGTGTTCTGGCCCCTCATGGTGTCCAGGGTATAAATTAGGAGCTGGCTCATTTCTGGAGGGACTTTCTTCTCAAGGCAGATCCTTTGTGGACCACTTAATCAAGATGGATTCATGAGGCCCATTTCAAGTCATCAGTCTTCTTGCATTATGCATTTCCTTTGATGATTGAGCCCACAAGCAGTGGAGAGGAATATAAATGTGTGACTTGCTGATGGCTCTCCCAGCAACTAAGGCATCAAATGGGACAGTAAAACAACCTTTGGCTGAAAACTGCTTTCAGTTTAAGAACAGCATAAAGAACAGATGCATCAAGGAAAGCACAGGGAGGATAAACTCCTTCCCAGTACTGTTTTCTATTTGAAGACACAAAGGCCTGTAATACCTGCCCATATTATTTCCTCACAGCAACACCCTGCACTTAATTGCTCTGTGAGGTCCATTAATGCAGAGAGGAGCCTGTGGTATGGGCTAAAGAGCAAGTTCTTCCCTCCTTTGAACCCAGCCTGGCTGCTGCTGGAGCAGTGTGCTGCAGATGCTGTGAGTCAGAGCAGGCTGGAGGAGGGACCAGATTTGTGTGGTTTATTGTCAGCCTGCTCATTCTGTGGCATTTGGAGAGAGCCAGGCAGTTTCCAGGCATGTGCAAGGCAGGAAAGCACATCCTCTGGGCTGCTGAGGTGCTTTTGTGAAGTGACTTTGAGTCCAAGGGACAGCTGATCCTGCCGTGGGGTGGCTGATGGATGTTTGATGGTTCCCAGGGACAGCTGTGCCTGCAGGATTCTTGTGTCCCCTGGAGCACCCACACCCTGGGCACTGGCCCTGTGCTCTGGGTGCCTGCAGGATTCTTGTGTCCCCCTGGAGCACCCACACCTTGGGCACTGGCCCTGTGCTCTGGGTCCCTCTGGGTGCTGCTTTTCCAGGGGGGGCTGCACTCAGAGTTCCCATATTCCTCCTGTTCTGGGTCCCTCTGGGTGCCTGCTTGTCTCCCTATTTCCCTGAACACGCTCCAGACATGGCTTCAAAGTGGGGTTTTTTTCAGTATTCCCTGGTGAATTTTAGAAACAGTTTCAAAACCATTTGATCACTCCATGGGGCAACATGGAGTACATCCTTCCAGCACTGTTCACTTCTTGCTGTGTTTGGTTGGATGACAGAGGGAAGAATTTCTGGGCTAGTTCTTTCCCAAACTGGTTGATGCTAAACATATTACTGCAACAGCACAGCTGCTGCCCCTTAGTCATGGGTTACAGTCTTTTCTTAGCCAAGTTTTAAGAGTTTGTTTTCTGTTTCTCATATACAGCCAGTTGAAAACTAAATAAAATATCACTCTTTTTTTTCTTTTCTGCAATATGTTTCTATAGTTAGGACAAAGTGACAGATGATTGATGATTTCTTTAGTTGCAAATATTGTAATGCTCTTGTTCTCCTCTTTCCTACAAGCACTGACTGATATTCCAGAAGGACAGATAAGCATGTTGAATTCCTGCTCCCACTTTGTCAATAGAAGCATTTTCAAAAGCCAGTCTGAATAACTCTTGATGGCTTTTTTGTTTATATGCTTGCTAGCAAGAACTCACCTGCTCTGGGAATTATTTTCTAAAATATTTGACCTCTGGATTTCCATGTTCATTGGCTCTCATGTTCCCCAGACCTGCTCTGAGCAGACTTCAGTGTGGTGATTAAAATTCCTTTGTAATTAGGAGCATTCCTATAATATCCTTGTGCTGGGCTATGTGAAGGAGGGATAATAGGTGAAAACAATTATTTCAGCTGTTGATAGCAGCCAAAATGCAAAGATGACTTCAAGGTTAATGATGTCCTCTATGGTCCCAACTGCCTTAAATGACTGGAAAATCTTCAGAGGTCTCCATACTTTTTAAAGAACCTGAATTATGTCAAGATTCAGTGGGGGAAAAAATAGTGCAATCTTCAGGAAGAAATAATTCCTGTCATTTATTCAGACTATTTAAAAATTTTATGCAATGAATCCCATTTTTATGCAATGAATCCCAATGAATATTTGTTGAATATTTGCTTCAGTTTTAGAATGGTTTTATTTGGGGAAAACAGTGAAATACAGTGGTTTCAACCACTGCTGTCTCATCACTGCTGTCATAACTTTTTTTTTCCTATTTAAATCTGCATTCTGAGGGGGCTTAACACACAAGTCATCTTATTCATACTCTGCAGTGAACTTGGACTTTTCTTCATGCCTTTGTAGGTCTCCCAAAGAGGAGCTGGTAGCACAAACTTCAAGTTGCTCTGCCATAGTTTCTTTTGACAGATCTTTTTCCCCTGAGTAGCTCCCGGGAGCAAAATGTCAGTGTAATTTGGTGCCAGCCATGAATACCCAGTTGGCAAGCTGTGAGGTCCCTCTTACTGAACCTTAGGAGCTCTATGTGTCAAAACCCGCTTGGCCTGAAATGCATTAAGATGTCAGGGACAATTATCCTGCTGCATTTCCCATTCATTAATCACAGCTCTGGCTTTCTGAAACCCCTACGCCAGCAATTACAAACAAGATTGATGTGGGCTTAACCAGCATTCTGAGGAGTATGCACACACAAAATACCACTTTTTTTCTTTTGACCTAAATCACTCTACTTTGAAGGAAAACAAACCATCTATTTAGAGCATCTGTACACCAGTATCCAATCCTCAGCCTTGTAAGTGGATGCCAAATTGCCTACAAAATTCTGGAAGAAAAAAATGTGAAAGTCTTTAAAGGCATTTTTGAGTCACTTATGACTCCCTCAGTCTGACACTTATGTGAGAGGGCAATTTAGTCTTTTCCTGGCAAGGTCTATTCCCAAAACAGTTCCCATCTAATGGCTCCATCTGACTTTGGGAGCTGATCAGCTAATTAGCTCCCTCAGCCTGTGAACAGAGAGCATCATTTTGGGAACCTGATTTTGGTGTTTTCCTGGAAATGATGTAACTTGGCTTTTTTAGCTCACACCACCATGGTGAGTCTGGGAACAAGCAAGGTGGAGAAACCCAGGGGCAGGCTGAGGAGGAGCCTGCAGAGAGCACTCAGCAGCAGGGCAGGGGCAAGGCAGAGCTCCAGCCAGCCCTTCTGCTGCTCAGGTGATGGCATTGTGACTGTCCTCCCATTCATCTCCCCTCATGCATTAAGGCTGCTGATGGTGCCAGTGCAAATAATTGAGTACATCTCTTGTGCTTGTGTCCCTAAAGATAAAAGCAGCAGAACTCAGCCTGTCCCACACTCACCAGGAGGGCACAGCCCCTGTCCCAGCACCTCTGCAAGGAACCACAGCAAGCAGTTCGGTACAGCAGCAGTGGGATCAAAGCTGGGAAACCAAGAAATCACCCCTCCCTCCATATTGCAGCGTGTCTCTAATTAATTTTTTCACCTCTGACTCAAGGGGGTGACTAATTCTGCAGTGCCAGTCTGATCAATGCACATGTGTATTTGCACACGTGTTCATCACGTGCAGAGAGCCAGAAGTGGACAAAGACAATAAGGAAATGAAAGAAATGTGTTTCATTAGTAATCTAAAGTCTAGAAAAGCACCTTCTTTTCTCCCAAATTCTATAAACTGGCTTTTATAATAGTAAGACTTTTTTAAGAAGCTGACCAGCCAGTTCCTTCCTGATCTGCTGGAAGTTCATTGTTCAGAATTTGTTTTTCCCTGTAAACTGTGATTTGAAAAGAAGTAGCCTATCCAGTGGTTACTGAGTCCATGAAAATTAGGGCTGGGTGAACAATTGTGTATAAAATTTAGAGCCAGTTGACAAATACTTTTTAATATACTTTACAAATTTTGTTCATTTCATCCATTATTCAGGATACATTTTTCCATTACTCTGCTAGCTTTCTTGCAAGTGAGCTGTTTTTAATATGATTATTTGTCTCCCTGGGTGGTCACTGCAGGATATGGCCAGCTCAGAACCTGTGAGAAAAGCAAGTTCCCACCATGGCTGGGGATCTGGTGCCTCTCCTGAGCTGGACATTTCCTCCCAGAGGGAAGACATTTCTCCTGAGCTGTCTGCCATATTCATACATAGGCAGGATTCCTCTTTCCCATCTAGATCTGTTTTCCTCTGATGAGCTTCTCCTGTTTCTCTCCTGTTCCAGGGATTCATGGACATTGACCTGACCAAATTCAGAGAGAGTGGAGCCAATGTCACTGGCTTCCAGTTGGTGAATTACACAGATACTGTTCCTGCCAGGATCATGCAACAGTGGAAGCAAAATGATGCCAGAGAGCACCCACGTGTGGACTGGAAGAGGCCAAAGGCAAGTGGCACAAAAAAAAAAAAAAAGCATTTCATTTGGTTCCATCTGGCTCAGTTCAAGTTATGCTCACCTCTTTGTGATCACACATGGCTCTTAATTCTCACTTGAGAAACTCTCAGTATAATTATGAACATTAGCTGTTCCATTTACCTTAACATTATCTGAATTTTACTGGGCTGCAGTTACTGCCTCTTAAGAAACACAAAATTTAATGTAGTCACTCACTCTCCCAGTTTTCACTCCCTCCAAGCTAAGAGTTAAATATCTCATAAGTTCAGTGTATAAAAAACAAAAAGCCTCTTTAAGTCCTTAACCTTTGACTTGTTTACAAGACATCCAGTGATAATAAAGTCTTTCCAGATGTTCTTTTTGAGAATTTCAAATCAGAGTGTACAACAGAGGGAAAAAGTATTTTAATTCCTGACACAAAAGGCCCTGAAGCTGTTGAGGGATGAGTGGAGGGAGAGGTTGTTTTCTGCTGTTTAATATTTGAAAATGAATACATTTGTGACAAACACTCTGCCATAGAAATGTTAGCTTTGGGATTAGTTTAAGAAAGTTCAAAACAACTAAATCAGTGGGTGAGCACAGAAAAAAGAGTTAACACAAATGGTTTTTGCCAAGTTTTACACTGCTTTCTGTACAAGTTTCTGCTTGAATAAACTCATGTTTTGCAGAATTTTTTGCCAATTGAGATAGAATTTTCTGGTCTCCATCCGTGACCAGAAAACGTCCCTTGTTTGATTTCATGTAGCTCACATTTACACAGTGTAATGTGCTCCTTAAAAGTTCAGGTCAATGCTTCTGATTAAACACAAATGCTTGGGTAACAGGTGAAGGACTTTTAGGGCTGAGTCTTCCTCAGGGAGTGAAATCAGGAGCTTCTCCTTCACTTCCCAGCTGTGAAAGTCAAAACCAACTTTTAGGAGTCAGCAGGGCAGTGGACATTACAGGGAGCAAGATGCTGTTGAACGTCATAGACAGGAGATGAGGACAGAGTGTTGCTGTTTTCTTAACCTGGAAATGAAACTTGATGTACTTTTAGTAAGGAGGTAATATAAGAGTGGATTTTTATTTGAAGGCTTTCAGGGGTAGTTATGGAAAGATGTCCATAGGGATGAGTACATCTCTATAGGTTTTAGGGAATTAATCTGATTGATAAACAGCACCAATAGGAGGAAAAGTGGTGATGTAATTTCTACTCAGGTCAAGTTTTGTTTTGTTTGGAGTCTTTCCCTCAGCATTAGCTGTGCTCTGTCCATAAAATGTATCTTGAAGAGTTGTTCTCAACCTCAGTTTCCAGGAAGAGCCAAGGTAGCACAGGGGCTTCTTGAGGCTTGGAGGTCTGGAATTCGTTTTGGTTTTTTGCCTAGGGAAATGCAATGGAAAACTGCCAGGAAAATTAGCCACTCACATTATGGGGTACAGAGCTACAAATACATGTGCAAAGAATACAGGAAACATATAAAATAATAAAAAAATAAACAGGTAAAAACCAAAGAGCATCAGAGCAAGGCAGCTGGAGGGTTACCCTGAGTGCCCTTTCTGTTTCCAGTATACATCAGCACTCACCTACGACGGCGTGCGGGTGATGGCCGAGGCCTTCCAGAACCTTCGGCGGCAGCGCATCGACATCTCCCGCCGCGGCAACGCCGGCGACTGCCTGGCCAACCCCGCCGTGCCCTGGGGACAGGGCATCGACATCCAGAGAGCCCTGCAGCAGGTTGGCAACCAGCCAGGAGGTGTGGGTGTGCTGGGGGCACGCTGGGCACAGCCTGGGGTGGGGCAGGATGGGTGGGCAGCAGCAGAATCACGAATCACTTGCGGTGATCCTTCTGGAGAAGAGAGGTCTGAAAATCCCAGGGGTGCTTCCAGCAAACTGCTTTTCCTGGTAGCATCTGAGGTGTTCTTGTGTCCTGGTTTAGGGCAAATTTGGGAGAAAACCTCCAAAAGGGGGCCCCTCCAGAAAGCAAACCCGCACGGCCCCTCCCTCCAACTGGGTCGGGAAGGATTCCTCAGAGAGAAGTGGAAAGAACCTGTTTATTTAACAGGTACAGCACCCACGGCACACAAAATGAACAATACCGGGTGCCACCACTCTGTCACCGCTCTGAAAAAGATGACAAATTCAGAAAGTCTGTCTTGGGGGTGGTGGCTCTCTTCTCAGTCCCTCCGATGCTGGGGTAGCTGCTGCCCAGAGTAGGCCCCGCTAGGCCACAAGGTGCAAACTCTCAGTGTTCCCAGGCCCCAGTCCAGAGCAGGTTTGAGTGGTTCCAAAAATGGGAAAGGAAAAACCGTCCAGGGAAAAATTCAAACTGCTTAGCTAAACTAACTAAACTAACTAGCAGAATCAAAAAGCAAGAGCAAAGCAGGAGCAACAGCAAAAGCAAAGCGAAAAGCAAAGCAAAAGCAGCACCATGTGCTGCCCCATCTCTATGTCCCGCCAGCCATGGGTGAGCAGGCTGATAGCAAAACCAAAACAAAACATTCACTCTTCAGGGCCAGTCTTGAAGGCACAGAACATAATATCCAGCAAAACAGAACAACGACTGGAGGTACAAGCATCATAACCTAGGACACCTTGCCTGCTCTGATTTCTGTTGTTCTAAAGCCAAAATATTATCCCATAAAATCAAGGGTCCCTATCTTTATGTTTCCCTCCCTAAGACACAGACCTGCTCAGACTGTGTTTTCTGCAGATTATTTGATTCTCTGTGCACTCAGCTTCATTTCCAGCCTGCTAATGAATGCATGTGAATTTTGCCTTATGTGTTGGCTGTCACCAAAATGTTCTCAAAGTGCAGATTATAGCTTGTTTCATACTGTGAGGGCTCATAAAAGTCTTAAGAGCAGCCATTTAGATAGTTTATTCCTCAAATCTGATAATCTTGCTTTTTTCCACTTGCATAAAATTTAGATTTTTGAATAAACAAAAATACAATGTGAAACTTACAGCAAGAGAGAAAAATAATTCACTCTTATCAAAGACTTAACAAGGTAGAATATTTTAAAATTTCATTAAATTTCAAGACTGACATTTACTTCTAGCACTTTTCTTTCTTTTTCTGACAGAAATAGATGGATTCCTTGCAAATACTGCTAGTTCAGTGTTATCCAAATATAGCTTATCCCATCTTCTTTCCTTAACTGTGAAGAAGGCAAAAACCCCCACCATTTATGTGGTTCATTTGTATAATATGTAAATTTCCTCAAGTATTTTGTTTTGATTTGGTTTTGGCTTCCTGGTAAACAACAATTCCTTTAAAACCAAATCTTGCATCTGATTTGATTTTATTGCTTGGATTCAATTTGTTCCCAAGCCTGTCACTGACTTTCTGCATGACCTTGGGCAAATCACTGTCACAGCTTCTCCAAGCCCTTATAATAAAATCAGCCTCCCTGATGCATTAGGGAGATAGGTTACCTAATAAACATGAAATACTTGGAAGTCTTCTGATGAGCAATAGCCACTCCAGCATTTTTCTTTATTGAATTTATGAGAATAAGATATCAAAATTAGACAGCTAGAAAATACAATTTGTGTGTGTGTGTGTGTGTGTGTTGGAAAATGTCCTCTGAAGTTTCCTTATATCTTCATTAGAACAATTTCAAAAGTCTTAATTTTTCAGCTGGAGTAAAGAACACAAAGACCCATTTGCAAAAGTTGCTTCTTTACAGATGAAAAATAATAATTTTAAAAAGGCTTGAACAGTTCAGTTGTGATGATCAAAATAAAAGACTGAAACAGGCAGGGCAAGAAGCCTCCTAGCAAAAAAATTAAGTTTGAATTTGATAATCTTCCAGTATTTAGTAATGTAGCAAGAACGAGACAGAAGGAAATAGAATAACTTAGGATAAAATTGAAGGTTTGAGTTATCCTTTCTGTAAAGACTCACAATTAAGGCAATTCTTACAGCTGCTCACAGTGTGCTTTTTCTTCACCTCCCATTTGTTAGTGCCTAAAATTTTGTAAGCTTTTTAAAAGCAAAAGGTTTCTCTACTTGCTTCTACTCAAACATCTGGAATAACCTCCCCAATTGCCTTATTCCTGTTTAGTGTAGGAAGGAACCACAGAACCATAAAAACATTTAGGCTGGAAAATCTAAGATCATCGAGTCCAAACATTATCCCAGCATTTCCAAGTTCACTAAACCACTAAACCATGTCCCCATCACTGCCACATCCACACATCTTTTAAATCCCTCCAGAAATGGTGACTCCACCACTTATCTCTCTAGACAGCCCATCCAATGCTTAACAACCCTTTTGGAGAAGAAATTTTTCCTAATGTCCAAACTAAACCTTCCCTGACACAACTTGAGGCCATTTCCTCCTGTCCTGTTGTTCTGACTGAACCCCACCTAACGAGGATTCATGGATGGCAGGAACAAAGATGAAAAGAAATATGAAGCATTCTTCATTTTTTTAAAAACAGAAATCTGGCATGTTCAAGGAGAATGCATGTTTTTATTAAAGATAATTACCTTTTTTTCTTTTTTTACCAGAAAAACCCACAAAATATTGCTTAAAACCACTACACTAAGGTTTCGATTTTACTTTGAAAAGGTTATGATAATTTTGAACAAATTATTTTTTTATCATTATGGGGTCAGCACATCTAATAAGCAGAAAGCTAGTCCCTAACTGCTGACTAAGCCTGTAAAACAGAAGGCCACAACTGCATCCTTCTGCTCCAGATGTCTCAGCAAAGAGCCAAATGCCCATTCTTGTCTTACACACAAATGTGCTTAAATGTCTCCAGTTGACTTGAGTAGTGCTTAGCACTGTTGAAGTCAGTCCTGACTATACTTTGCACTGCCTTTTTGCATTTTGCTGTGCATTTTTTGCATTTTGCATTGCATTTTTGTATTTTGCATTTACCTTCAGCGGATGGTGAATGACAGAAAAGATGTGCTGCCTCCTGCAGCATGGATAGCAGAGATCCCTTTTGCATTTCAGTGACACATGGATATCACAGGATTAAGATTTTATTCACTCAGATAGAAGAAATTGATGCTGTAAACCTGCCTTTTAGTGCATACAAAGGTACAAAGCACAAGCACCTGTGACCTGAGCTTCAGAATTGGTCAGAACCTGAAAGGAAAACCAAGGAGACATGAAAAAAGCAGGCTTGGGAGTGCTTAAGACAATGGTGCTTTTTCCGCCCATCTATTTTTTATGAGCATGTTGTGTCTTGTGAAAAGGGAAAAGCATGTTTGTCCAAATGTCACCAGGAATACCTCTTGATTTGAAACAGCTTCAGAAAATGCTGGCAGGTGTTCATTTTCATGACAAACCTTTGTTGTAACAGCTGGAAAACAAACACAGCTTAACCAGATTAACAACAGATTTCCTCTGTAATGATACAGCCTCATTTCTTCACCACGGGTCTTTATTCTGAGGATCTCAGGGTATTTTAAAAGGCTGTTAAATACCTATCCCCATTTTTCATGTGGGAAGACTTCAGTTGCAGGGACAAGAGGTTTGTCCAAAGCAAGTGGAAAGGCAGAAAAAGAGCACTTCTCTGGGTGGTCTCCATAGAAACCCAAATCTGCACTCTTTTTCCCATTTTCCTGATCCCTACAGAGTGTGTGACTCCAGTCAGGAGCCCTTCTTCATTTCAGGCTGGGCACTTTTGCAGGAAGGGAATTTCAGGATGTGGGATGTGAGGTGAGCCTCACTTCAGCTCTACTGTGTTATCAGCAGAGATTTACTGTTCAAGGTTTCCTATGCAAATGTCAATACTAAATTGTTAGATTTTATTAATCTGGTGCAGAGGTAATTAAATTTGCTTGATTACTTATAGACTCCTTTCTATACAACAATAATGGCTGGGAGCTGTGGCCATGGTTTCATATTTCCTCCTGATTTACAATTCCTGATTTGAGCTGACAAATTCTGTACCAAATTCCGACTCGAGGTCAGATTTAGAAAATACAAAACCCTGCAAATTCAAGGAGTTCAGAGCTGATTTAGCTCACTGTCACATCCTAAGAGGTGATGGGCTCACATTGGTGATGTAGCTCTTAGGCTGCTCTGTGTTTTAAACCACTGAGTTTTAAGAGAAAGGGTTTTTTAATTAAAGAGTCAGCTAAGAGGATGGCTTTGCCCATGGCTAAGCATGCTGTAGAGAGTGAGCCTTAGTGACAAACCAGTTTCAGGCAGATGTGCTGCCTCCCCTGCATGGAACCGAGAGTAATGACTGCACTCAGCACCCTTCTTCCCCTCCCCTCTCACTGCTGCTGAATCACCACTGCATGAGAAGCTGACCAATTTGCTGTTTCATTGCTATTTGTGTATTTAAGGTCCGTTTTGAAGGATTGTCTGGCAACGTTCAGTTTAACGAGAAAGGACGCAGGACCAACTACACCCTCCATGTGATTGAGATGAAGCATGATGGGATCAGAAAGGTAAAGCAGGGAGTGACCAACATCCTGTGTCAGCTTCCAGCCCATGTCTGAGAGGCAATGTGGCTGGGTCTCAACAGGCATTCCTGCTCATGAAAATTTGTTTGTGGACAAACAACAAGGGCATTCCCAGCTCTAGGCATAAGCAAAGCCAAGCAATAGGGAGGACTCATGGTACTGCTAACAAAATACAACGTTTGGAAGGTGTCATCAACAGCAACAAGGGCATTTCAAGTGTGGCAAAAATTTTCCAGGATGCTAAGACTTGGTCAGCTCACCTTTGCTATTGGCACAGTGTGTTGGTGCAGGCCCAGCTCTAGGTCTGGCTTTGCCCTTCCACTTTTCCAAGGATAAACAAAGGCAGAGCCAGGCAGAAGCTGTTTGCCCCAACCATTGTAAGTGAACCCTTTATGTTGACCTAATTCTGTTTTCCTTGAAGTGACAAAAGCTTTAGCACTAACCACGTCCCAATAGCTACACAGACCTTTGTGCTCTTCTGAAGTCTTGATCCCTTTTCTGTATCCCAGGCTCTTTGAAAAATCTGGCCTTATTCAGAGATGCCAAGCCCTTGAAACATGAATCCTTTTGAAAATCTGACTTTAGGTGCTTATGTCCCACTTTAGATACCATGTATTTGAAGAACAGAGAATAACTCAGTTATTCCTTGATAAAGAAGAGTTACTACGTCTTTTGGAAAGGGGCATTCTCTGCATGTCCTCAGTCCCCTGAAAGATAAAAAACTTGTTTGAAACCAAGAAAAATGTAAATAATGAAAGTTCCATATTTACAGCCCCTATCTCAAATTTATGCTTACATATGAGAGCAGCAGGTGTGAGATCAAAGCCCCCCCCCCCCCCAGTCTAGTGAAAAAAGGCAAATTTTCTTTGACAAATAAAATAAATGTGATTTTGAAGCTGTACAAAGCAGTCGTCCTCCACTGCAAAGTATTCATAAGAGGACAAAGGCAGCATCATGCCCAATTTGGGTCTCTGAACTTCAATAAGTTGGCAGTCTGGAGAGTCTAGAGATGAAATTGAGTGTATTGATTTTTCTATGTATTTACCATCAGAAATAATATTTGTTTGGAAGACAATGCCATGATGCATATTGTAGTTTAGACCTACCAGGTGAGAGGTGCAAAGCAAACATCCACGTCTCCACTTTTGTCGCCCTAGGGCAGAGCTTTGAAAGCCCTTTAGTCACTTTCCATTCTTTTTGTCTGTGCAATGAAGAGTGATTAGAAGCATGCAGAGATTTTTTTTCTCCTCAGCTGTCATGATCTCTAATCTGCCATCATCAGGTTCCTGGTCATGCCCTGGTTAATACCTTTTCCCATTTATGATAAGAAATTCCTTTCATATGAGCAGAGCTCAGGCAGCTTCATACTTACATGAGGTGATGTAAAACCTCTTATAAAATCAAGCCCTCCAAGTGGATAACCTCAACCATGATCTTCCTAGAGATATTTGCCAGCACTCTGCTTTACCTGCAAGGAGTGATAGAGCTGCCCAAATCCCTGATTATTATTAAGTAGAATTTAACCTCAGAATTTTTCCCTTTATAAATGCTCAGTTTATTCATAACCCCAAACTTTTGACACTGGCACAGGAATGGGGGAGAAGTTCTGACTTGATTTTTTGTCCTGTTGTCTCAAGATGTCCTGAGAGTCACTCCTGTACTCATGCAAGCTTTCAGCTGCAGGATGATTTTTCATCACCCTCTAGCACTCGCACCTGCAGCAGACAAGCTCACCATTAGAATAAATTTGGAAGTCACACAGGGAAAGTATGAACTTTCTTTGTAGGAATGGCAATAATCTCCAGTACAATGTGATAAACGTTTTTGCATGGCACTGTGCTACTGTAGCACATCATGCACATTATTAATTTCAGGCTGTAGGCACAGTGGGATGGGGAATTTCCCTGTCCCCTTCACCGAAGGCATGAAAAATCAGGAGAGGAGATTTCTGGCTGGGTATGAACATGCAGAGAAGGCTGATCTGACTTGGATGACCCTGTTACTGTACCTTGGCTAATATTCCAAAGCCGTATTAATCCTGGTTTTGTATTGGGCAGATTGGTTATTGGAATGAAGATGAGAAGCTGGTCCCAATAGCTGTAGATACTCAAAGTGGCAACGAATCTACGAGCCTGCAGAACAGGACCTACATAGTCACAACTATCCTGGTAAGTGCCATGACTTCCATCCCAGCTCTCCCTCTTCCCCATCTCCCTGATGTGCAGGCTCCCTCTTCCCACTCATGAGCCCTTCTTTGTATTATATCATTTTTATAGTAGCAATAATAATAATAATAATGATGATGATAATGATAATAATAATAACAACAATAATAGCACTTACTGTTTCCTGCCAGCTCCATAAAGGTATCTGCAAATTGCTGTGGCTAATTAAATAGGTATTAAAGAGCCCTCATGCTTAAGTGTAGAAAATACAAAAGATTATGACAAGATAGAGGCATCAACACAGGCAAATCAGGAACATTGTACCTGTGGTTTGTATTTATCCCACAGAATGGGGGCTGCAGTTTTGGGAAGGATAATCTGTTTTGTTCAGAGAGGATGAATCATTGCTTTAAAAGCAAATCTCCACTGTAATCACGAAGGAATAATAGGTAGCCCACAATGTATGGTATCATGTATTGTGTCATTGTATACACTTACATGCAGAAACGTGAAACATTACTAATTTGTTTGTTGATTGCTTACTGGGAGTCTGCAGAGAAGATACAATACCCAAACTGAGTTAAACACTTTAAGGCTCTCTCCTGTCCAGCAGATTTGATTCTCTCTGTGCCCACACAGGCAGGCATGGCTTTAAAAATTCACAGCTCAGATACATTAAATACCCCTTACAGAACTACACTGAAAGGTTTGCTGCCCAAATCCTGCCAGCTGCTCCATTCCCCTCAGGTGCATCACTGCGGGAGCTGCACACAGATTCTGCATGAATAAAAAGAATATGCCACAATAAAAAAAAAATTCAGACTCTGTACCTTCTAGATTAAGCCCACGGTGTGTTGGCTGTATGTGTTGGCACAGCAACACAAAGCCAGAGCTTTGCAGGGCGACCAAAAGCTGGTGTGCACATCTGGGACGAGGAGTGGGGCTCAATGCTGCTCTTCTGTGTGCCAGGAGGACCCGTACGTGATGCTCAAGAAGAATGCCAACCAGTTTGAGGGCAACGAGAGGTACGAGGGCTACTGCGTGGAGCTGGCTGCCGAGATTGCCAAGCACGTGGGCTACCACTACCGGCTGGAGATCGTGCGCGACGGCAAGTACGGCGCGCGAGACCCCGACACCAAGACCTGGAACGGCATGGTGGGAGAGCTCGTCTATGGGGTGAGTTTCCAACCTCAAGGTGTGGGAACCCAGCACATCCCTCTGGCAGTTCAGGATGGCCAGGACCCCTGCCAGGGGGCTCTGACACCCTGGCACAGAGCCCAAAACACCTGTGGGTTTGACCAGTGAAACAAATTACCTACCTTATATGAAGATCAGCAAGCCACAACAGTTTGGGTAGAATAATAGTGAAGTTATCACAGGGTGGAAAAGTAGATTTTTGGGGTTTTTGGTATGGGGGCTCAGGAGGCAAGATGGAGGGAATTGGGTGTGTCCAGCCTTTCTCCTTCTTCCTGGTCTCCATCTTCTGCTGTGATGTTGGCATTTACAGATTGGTTTAGAGTAGAAGCTCACTGTCTAACATAGGTGATAGGTATTGGAAAGTAATTGTAAACATTGCATACATAGTTTTTAGTATAAAGACATAACAGTGCCCTGGGGGCAGGCAGTGTGCCTGGAACTGTCCTGCTGGATGGACCTCAGCAGGGCAGGAGAAAATTTTTTATAGATAAGATACAATAAACAACCTTGAGACCGAGAAATGAAGAGTTCTGACTCCTTCAAGAGCTGGGCTGGGAAAAGAGACTTTCTAACTTTTCTCAGGGTCACTCTGACCAGCTAAAGATCCCAACAAGAAGGAGTTCTGCCCTCTCTCAGCCTGAGCTCTCCAGAGGACTGCAGCTCAAACAATCAGCCCAAGTGAAATGTTTTAATTTAGGGGAGAGACGGCACATTCTGTGCCTATGGAAATGTCAAAACGTTTTCTTTCAACAGTTCCAAGATTCTTTTTCTTTACCTTTTTAGAAGAACAAGTATCAAAAGGTCATATTTTCCCACGGGTAGAATCTCCAAATTTTACTCTGTTTTATATTTGCATGGTAATGGCAGGATGAAAGAAAAAGATTTCAAACACTCAGCACATGAATGGTGAATGGAAGGATGAGATTACTTTCTGTCCAGCCACTCATTTCCATCATCAGGGATGTACACCTGCACCCTACACTTCTAAACCTGGTTTGGTGTGATAGTTCATGCTCTGTGATGTTTAGGACATTCCTCAGACAGAGGGATCTAATTTCCCTTTCCCTACAACGGAAATCATGCAGGGAGCATCAGTCCCCAAGTCCATGTGAGACTGTGTTGGAGTGGGGACGATCTGTCTCCTGATGGTAGCTCCACTGTAAATGCTGCCAGCCATTTCAATGCATCACCCTCTCCATTTTCAAGATGGACTGCAAAATTAGTGGAGAGTACATATCAGTGTGCTGGAACATTTTTCCTCTTCTCCTGCATCAGTTATGCAATCAAAAGACAGTTCCTGATGGAAGTAAACATCCTGACATCCTCTTTCAGGAGATTGGCCTTTCCTTGCCTCTTTTGATGTCTGGATGATAAAGCTCTTTTAGAGAAAATCATCTTCATCATATTGTGACATCAGTGGATAAATCAGATGAGAAGAGCTGGGTGGCTGCAAAAAGAAAGTGCTGTGATTTCAAAACAGATCTGGTAATCAGTAGCGATAAAATGGAAATAATCCACCAATATTATGGGCTTCTCCTTTTTAACCTTTTTCTTGGAATCGGTTTTGCCTGATTTCTTCTCAGATAGCGAGGTTAAACAGAGATCAAAGGATCATACACTGCAGTTAGTAGATACATTTTATTCCCAGTCTGAAAATCTCTTTTCTGTCTCATTTTTCAGAGGGCAGATGTGGCTGTGGCACCATTAACCATCACCCTGGTTCGAGAAGAAGTTATAGACTTTTCCAAACCATTCATGAGTTTAGGTATATCAATAATGATAAAAAAACCTCAAAAGTCCAAACCAGGAGTTTTTTCCTTTCTGGATCCTTTGGCCTATGAGATCTGGATGTGCATTGTTTTTGCCTACATTGGAGTGAGCGTTGTCCTCTTCCTGGTGAGTCGCTTCAGCCCCTACGAGTGGCACACTGAGGAGTACGAGGAGGGACGGGACCAGCCAGCCAATGACCAGACAAATGAGTTTGGGATATTCAACAGCCTCTGGTTCTCCCTAGGAGCTTTCATGCAGCAAGGATGTGATATTTCTCCAAGGTGGGTTGCCTTCCCCAATCAACCTTCTTCCAGTTCTCATAGTTTAATCTTTCTGCGTGCTTTGAAGCTGAACAGGTTCTACTTTGACCTCCTTTCCTGAACCAAAGTGGGGCTTTGTGAATCAGTTACAGACTCAGAAAGGATCCAAAAGTTCACGGGTCTCACAGCTGTGAACTTGGGACCTCAAACTTGACACCATGAAAATACCATTTAAATTTTTATTGGGGAGTTCTTTTGAAGGAATTTACAGAAATTATAACAAGCTTTTCTAAAGCCGCTCAATTGCAATCAAATTTTGTCAGTAACTTATTTTGTTGCTACTAGAAATAATATGATTTTAGCATTATAGGGAAGATAAAAACTTCCAGCAAGGTAGGGAGAAATAATAGGTGCCCAGTGAAAGGTTATATGGTCTGTGCTCCAAATATGGAGCACAATGAGTGGCTTAATTGTTACTGGCCTTTAAAAAGGTTAGAGAAAGACCAAGTTACATCCTGCTTTCCATTTCAGCCAACAGTTCTGCTGCCTGAAAGTTCAGGTGGACCCAACATCCAAAGTGTCCCTAAAGGAACTTTTTGGTGAATGACTCTTGTGATTTACTTGGGTATTTTTTACTTCCTTTTGGAGGCTTTGTCTCCCTTCTCTTCAAAGTTTCACCCAGAAATACTCATCTTATGGGTGAAGACAGTGGGCAGAGGTTGATTTCCAGCCTGCTGTGGTGGCATCAGAGCTCAGGGAATGAGAAGGAGACACAGCTCCATGGACAAGGGGAGATAACTCCGTGCAGCTCAGCACAGCCCCCCTAAGATGGCAGGGAAGACTGAGCACCAGCTTTTTGGCTATCAGATGCCAATTTATCCAAATGTTAATGAGCTTGTGATAGCAGGGAAATAACAGCCTGCAGGGCACTTTGATAGTGGCAGCCTTTATGAATATGTTTTATTATCTGATCATTGATTAGTAGGAGGCTGGACAGAGAATCCAGAAAGTCTCCCCAGCAGAGGGAATTTCAACTTTATTGCTGTCTTGTAACCAGCCCCATGCATTAGGATCAGGTTATTGTAATTTTTATTCTCATTGTTGTTTTTGTCATTATTTTTATTTAGAAAATAAAATGTCTTCCTGTGAGGCCATTTCAATAGGTGGTTTCTGATCCAAGGAGGAGCAGAGAGAAGTGAAAAGCTGAGGCTTTGAGGAATAGCAAATTTGGTAACATCTTTAATAAAAAGTGTCAGGGAAAGATCAGTGGGTTTGATCCAGATAACAAGATTTGCCCTAGCTAAACAACATCCTTTGAATCACCATTTCAAAGTGTGATTTTATTTTGCTTTGAAATGGGAAATGAGAATTATTCCATCATTGTTATTTTAATGTTGGTTGATTTAATCATCCTGATAATGAAAATTACAATTTCATTGAAGCCAATATTTTCCCATGGAACGCAAGAGCAGTTTCTGACTGCTACAACTATTGGCAAGATGATAAAAACTTAAAAATTAAATACGGGAATTATTATAACTCCCAGTACTCTGAGTACAGCTCCTTGAGATGGTTGTAAGGGGAGAGGGATATTTTTGTGTGATGTGAAAGCCAGGAGGAAGCAAAGAGTGAGAATTTCTGTAGGATGTTGTTGTGCAGAAAGGCTCTGAGCCCGCTCCCTGTTTCACATGTATTTTTCACACGAACCCAGTGCAGGATTTCTGTGACACATCACTTAGAAATGAACACTTGGTAGAATGACACTGTGGGCAGGTGGGGATATCTGCTCTATTCTAATATATTTCCTATGTGCTTGCTTCTAAACTTATCTCTACTATCTCTCAGCATCTCCCCAGTAATGCATTAACCAACATAAATAGCTTCTGTTATACATCTGTTCTGTCATTCTCTCCCCAGCAGAAAGGAGCAAGTGCAGGGGTGTATTTTGTTTTTGTAGAGGTTTTTTGGTTGTTTATTTCAGTTTTGTTTTGGAAAGGACCAGGGGAAATTTGTCTGAAGGTTTGTTTGTTATTTTTCCAGATCGTGCTTGTTTTAAGTGCATATGCCACTATGTATTTATCATTAAAAAAAAAGAGTAAGATCAAAACCACAGACACATCACTCAGCACAGCAGGTGGTGAAGTTTGCAGCAATAACTTCTCTTGTAAATGTGCATTCCTCAGTCTCAGACCAGTCTCCAGGGAACTTCGATGCCCCAAAGAGACAAAAATTCGCTTTTGAAGGAAATTGTTGTCCTTTTTAAGGACAGTCTTACTAGGCAGAGCTTTAAACAGGCTTTTAAGTACGTTGGGGACAACCAACCAAGGACTTTAAAGACCCACTGTGAATTTAATGACCTGTGGATGGCCAAGAGAGAGCAGAGCTGTGGGTTATCCGCTCAGAGCCTCTTTGCAGGAGGTCAACTGAAGCTCTGAATCCTTCACGTCTAGGCATCGACTGGGTGGATGGGACAAAGGGCAGGCAGCAACCAGTCATGGAGAGTCCCAACTGGAGCTGTGTTGTGCCTTTGGGTGCTGAAACACGAGCATGAGCAGGGAATCCATCCAGGAATGACTCCCTGGTAAATGTGTGGCTTCAAACTAAGGGGGCTGAGAGCTCTCAGACATTTCCCACTGGAGTGTGTGCCCACCTTCTGCACCATCACTGACCCCACTGGGTGTGGAACAGTCCCTGCCAGCACTAATTTGCCCTGGTTGAGGTGAGACGGCCCCTGTTGTTGCCCTTAAAGCTCTCAAAGCAGGGGCTGGTACCCAGCAGGGTAAGGGAGAAGCAGCAGCTCGGAGCTGTGCTCAGCTCCACAGGGACAGGCAGGAATCAGTGACTCTGAAATGGGCCATAAACCATTAGGCTTTGCTAAGTGCCACCTTAGCTTCAGAAAACTGCAATGAAATTGCAAAAGCACTCATTAAAGGTGAAATACAGACCCAGAAGGGAGCTTCTCAGAGCAGGCATCAGAGGTAATAAATAACCCACAGCCAATAGCAAGAGCCTGCGGAAAGAAAAATGTGAAGTAAATATGACTCACATTGTACCATTTTCAGAACTGTAATTTGATAAATTGTCTTCAGAGCTTAAAATAACCACAGTGTGTAGCAGCTGGAAGGGGTAGGACCTTGATAAAGTCCAGCACGTTACAGCCATTCCTCACTTAGGATGGACTTGAGACCTTTCAGAAGGAGAGTGAGGGGAGGCTTGGGCTTCCCATCTCCTCTGCAGCAAAACAAGGCATCAGAATTTTTCATCTTCTCCATCATTTTCTGCAAAATAAATAATTTGACTGCTGTGAAAAGAATGGAAAAACAGGGAGCAAAATAGCATCTCTTGTCAGCTTCTTATCTTGATCTCCTATTTTTTATCACAAAATATGTTGCTTCATATGGTTTGAGCCCAAAAGCAATTTCTTGTATATTGAAGACTATTAAATTTAATCCAGTTATTCTTCCTGTGACTCAGAAAATTTACGTTTGACTAAAATGAAATACATTTGGTTAAAACAGATCTTCCAGAAAGGCATTTTTTCTTCATTTGAAAATACCATGAGCTAGAATAGACAGTTACTCTCAGCTGAGTTGACGGCAGGAACCTTGTCCCATGTCAGGTTTGGCAGGTGGATAAATATTACACAATATCACCTGGTGAATGCAGACATCAGTTGTGCCTTGCCAGAGGAAAATTAAATAAAGATCTCCAAAAATTAGCTTCACTTTTTGGAGCCTCTCTTTACTGTTGAAACAAAAAGGATACATATTCTGAATTCAGATCAAAATCTGCTGTGAGTAGAAGGGAAATGCATACTCATCTCATGGCACACTGGGGTATCTTGTCATGATAATTGGGCAGCACAGCTTGAAATCACTCATTATAATCTGTCTCATAGAGAACAGAGCTGGAGATGTCGTGGTCAGCCTGTGCTGGGAGTGAATGGTGGATGAAGCTTTCATCCCATCTGAAAGAGAGCCTGGACAGAGGAAGCTTTCATCCCATCTGTGTCTGAGAGAGAGCCTGGACTGGGGATGCTTTGGGAGCATCAGCAGGGCTGCCTGAGCAGGGAGAGCCTCTGTGCAAGGTGGGACCACAGCTGGGAAATGCTCAGGTCACACCAACATTAAAATAACAATGATGGAATAATTCTCATTTCCCATTTCAAAGCAAAATAAAACCACACTTTGAAATGGTGATTCAAAGGATGTTGTTTAGTGTGCCCTAAAAACTGTGGGGTTCAATGTGGGCAAGGAGACATGGCTCAAGGTACCATCCACCCTCCAGCTGGTTTGGGATAAAGAGCTAACAGGGTTTTCCCTGACCTGCAGAGGCTTTGCAGGGTGCACTGGGCTGTGCCAGGCAGTGACCACAGCTGGGTGTGCTGAGCAGGGAGCTTTGCTGGCAGAGATGATGGATGGCTGCACTCCCAGGCAGGAAGGAGAGAGATAGATGCTGGCTGCTCTCCAGTCAATAAATACAATCTATTATTTATAGGCATCTTGTGGACATGGTTATTTGTTTTTTTGTGACATGGGAACAGTGCTCTGGCTGATCTGTGCTGTGTGCTCATGTTCACTGCTCCTCCTCAGTCTCACTCCTGCATTCCATCAGAGTGGTTTGTCTGGGGAACAGCAATCCAGGTATTTATCATGTACCTGTAATTAATGCTGAGCATTTTCCTCTGCTCTTTTTCCTGTTTATTTACATTTCTTTTTAGCCCAATTGAAAAAAGTCACAGGAGACTTCAGATTTTGAAAGGCAGCAGCATTTTAAATTCCATCAAGATCTTCCCAATACTGAAAGGGTTTAGCCAGTTTTTGGGCAAAATCTAAATCAGAAATTGATTAGAACAAATACCAAAAAGTTGTGGGGGTTTTTGTTTGGTTTTTTGGAATTTTTTTTGGGAGGGTTTTTTTTTTTTTTATTGAGAGGTTTGATTTGGATTTTTTTTCAAGGAAATTATTTCTGTCCCATCCTTTGTAAACTTACATTTGCAGGGTACTTACTTATTTTGCTAA